CAGCGTTCCGTGTCTAAGTCGCACTGGCCATGTGAGCACGGAAGATTGTCTTCGGACAAAACGCTGGCTCTATGGCTTGGAAACGGGGATGAGCACTGCCCCCTAGAGTCGGCCACGACTGGACAAAAATTCTCAAGGGAAACCTTTACCTTTACCTTTAAAAAAGTATAAAGTTCTAGGTATGGCCATTCTTACATAAATGACAAAAGCACTATAATATAAGATGTCCATGCTTAGACCTTCACACTTTTGTACCTAAGCTTAAAGGAAAAAGTCATCCTTACATTATACTACTTTTGCCATTCATGTAAGGATAACCTACTGGTACAGCTAATTTTCTTAATCTAATAACTGGAACATTTCTTGCTTAATATCTTTATTTATTTCAATTGATGTACTGTTTGTCATAATGTGCAATTATATAAGTATCTTTTTTAATCCAATGTCATAATGTGCAATTATATAAGTATCTTTTTTAATCCAAGGTAAATGCTACTATTAATGTAGAAATTTGTATAATGTTCACAGAACAAGCAGGTTTGGTTCTCTTTCCATTGATCACCCAGTTTATTCAAGTATTTGTCTCAGAATTTGCATCAACCCAGTGATGTGTTTCAGTGTACAACAAGCAACACAGTTGTGAGAAAATATTTCAATGACTGGTTTGTTCAGTACCAGAAATTAAACAAGCTCCACTCTCTTCTCTGAAAACACCTTGACTACCCTCCCTCCTCCACCTGCAAGCTTCTTTCATTTCAACTTTAAGACTTGGATGAATATTTTGATTGTTGTTATTGTTGAACAGTTGGAAGTCTAAAAATACCTTACTGATCTACTGCAAATCAAATGCTCCAACACTGGAGGCATTCAAGAAAAACTTAGATAATCACCTGGCAGATATGCTTTGATTGTATTCCTGCATTGAGCAGGGGATTGGACTTGATGAACTTGTAGGCACCTTCCAACTTCACTTTTCTGTGATTCTAGATCACATGTGACTATCTGTCTGCATCCAGTCTAGGGAATCACCTGCAAAGGAGAATATGCAGGTGATGTTGAGGAATTGAGCTTGCAAAAGTGATGGTGGGAAAAGATTTGGGAGTCCTGATGGTGCCTTGTGATATTTTCTTTGAAAAGAGGTAAATAAGTGATCCTGTTATCCTAAACCAAGACAATTTTAGACTGGAACAAAGAAATGCTGAGAAAAGTTGGAAGCAATAGGAAAAAGATGAAAACTAGATAAGAGATAAAGAAAGCCACAGACTTGAATCTGCAAGAGCTGCAAGAGATGTCAGGCACATTTGGAGGTCTCTAATACTGTACACAGGGTCCCTGTAAATCAGAAGCAACTTAATAAAAATGATAACACAAAGCTCTTCTTGCATATACAGAACAGAAATGAAGGAGGAGCTCCATGTAGCATCAATATATATATACTGTACTGTATATGAGGCACTAGGCAAGGGTACAGTGGTGTCCGTGTTTTACAAAGGGCCTACAAAGTGAAGGCAAAGGAAAGCTATTTTCTACCTAATTATAAAGCAAGCCAAAATGAATTGCAGATTCCCCCTCCTTTTTTGACCATATCAACGAGATAAAGGGTATCCAAAACATGCATCTGATGAAAGTACAGAGCAGATTTTTGGAAGAATAAGTAACCATAGCAAACACAGTAGTTATTTTAAATGTATTTAATTATATACTGCCAAATAAATAGATGAAAACCCCACATAGCTGGATTTGCTGTCAAAATCCTTGACAGAGGAGCATGCTGTTAAGAAGACTTCCTTCACAGTTTGATGCCTGCATTGCAATTAGCACATCCTAAGTACATCACAAAGCTCCGGAACATGCTTCACTTCCCCTCTATATAGCTTTCTCTTTCTGGCTCCCCCATTCAGTGCAGAGATGGCCAGGTAAAATGAAAAAGCTCAGTAACACTTTTGTCCTATACCTACCTAAGAAATAGGATCTATGATCACTCAGGGCTTTCAGCACTTGTAAAAGCAGATAGGAAAGATCAAAAAGGTAAAATGTAGGACACATAAGGCTCTGTAAAAAGATCAGGGAAAAGGTCTATGCCAATGCTCCTGAGCCTTTCCATACTTATAAAGATGCCATCAAATACAGAAGCTGTTTAACTGGTCAGCAGCGAGCAGCGTTGGTGCCCTATAAAACTACGTTGAAGTGGTGGTGCCCATTTTATGTGCAGCAAGGCTTAATGTGCCTTGGCTGCTTCCACACAGAATGCAGGTTGGAACATTTTGCAGCAGTGGGATGGAAGGGGAAACCCCACCGAGGCAGATCTGTGTATCTGTCCTGTCTGCACAAAGATGGTTCGCTGCATGGAGAAACTGCTGTATGGAGCCATTTCAAGGTGCCCTTCCATCCCCTAGCACTTGTGTGAAACTAGCAGGATTAGGGTTAGTGCCAGTCCTTTGTTCTAATGGTGGGTACGAAGTCATGCAGTCTGGCTCCAGAAAACACCCGGGCTTTCATGTAAACTGCATGCTTATATGAAGTGGATGAAGAGAATGGTTTTCTTTGTGATTTTTGTCTTCTAATTTGGTATTACTGGTTGACTGACTGCTTGTTGATTGTTACACTTAAAGCAGTGATCAATCTACGAGTCAATAATTATCATATTATTTTTTCATCTACCTTTTCACAATCACAACTGCAATTTATACACACCACAAACCATTGAGGAAAGGTTCATCTGATCGCATTTTGTAATGGCACTCACTGTTCCATGTTGCTTTCGAACCATAGTCTGGAATCTCACCTGAACTCATAGTTTCAAATAATAATTTGGAGTTAAACTATAGTTAGAGCTAATGGTGATTTAAACATCATGACATGGTATGATTAACAAAACTGGAGAAGTAAAAAATGGCATCTGTGCAAAAGAGAGAAAGAGTGTGCACCCTCATGCACAGGACTGGTTCAAGGCTCTGGTGGGCCCCAGGGCGAAACATGTAAGAGGGGTGCCCCCCTTCTTTCCTCCTTCTCTCCCTATCCCTTACCTTCTACATAAACAGATCACACAGCATGAACAATGTAATATAACATAAACAAGACTTACTCACCAATCTTGGTAGCACTAAATAAGTGAACAAGGCTTAGGTAAACAAACCAACATAACAATGAAAAGAAAGTCTAGCTTAGAAAACAAAAAGTGTATCCAAAGCAAAACCTGCATGTCCTCAATGACATGGGTGGTGGGAGAAAAGGTTGTGCATGCCACTGGTACTCAAATGGTGCGAGGTCACACATCATTGTCCCATCACATGACCTCAACGCACATAAGACTTAAAAGGCCCAGCAAGTGGTGGGCAGTGCAGGGGGCGCAGCGCCACCATGGAGAGCAAAAAAGGAAAAAAAAAGTTCCCCCTCATCCTGTGGGCCCCTACAGACAGTGGGCCGAGCAAATGCCCACTTTGCCCTCTGAATAAAGGACCATTGACAACAATGACAAATGCAAGGAGGTTGGCTGGGAGAGAGCCTTGCACCTACTGTACACTCCCAGGAAGCAAAGAACCTTTGCTGTTGTATTTCCATCTATAACAATTTCAAGGTCCTGCATCATCTCCATCACCATTCATCTTGGAGGAATTCCATTGAAAACAGAAGGAAATGGAGATTCAAGCCCTGAACTTCAGATGGTAATGAAATCCTGGAAAGAATCTTGTTACCTTTGCTTGGTGGTGTGATTATGTAACTTTCAGTAACACAGCAGTTGGATGACTTGGTGTGTAAGGGGGGAAAAAGCAACAACTTCTCAACTGGCATTAAATTGGTACTGAAATTAATGTAGGAGTTACATGGCTGCAACTAATAGCATGTATTTCCAACTTTTTAATAATAATAATAATACTGCTGCTGCTGCTGCTGCTGCTGCTACTACTACTACTACTACATACCAGGTAGGTGAGCCAACCCACATATAAAATTATACCTGAGGTGAGGTGGCGAGGCTGCCATCAGAGCAAGTGAGTTAAACAAATTACAATGGGCGTAAAGACGGGGGCAGAAAACGGATAGAGGCCGTCAAAGTGTGGCGTAGTCGTCTTGTGTAGAATGTGTAAACGTGTACAGGAAACTGAATCAATGTGTAAGCGACATGAAATCTCTGACACAATTCAGATGTGGATACAAGAGTTAATCCATAATACCGCTTTGGCGGGAGAAAAAAAACCAAACCCACCGGCTGCACCCCCCCAGTTTATAAGGGTAGGCGAAAAGTCTTTTAATGAGTTTCTTCTCCGAGCCGCTGCATGTGCAACCGTATAGTAAAAGCAATATGGAATTTGTCACGGGTGTCTTTCCCACTTTTTTTATTTCCCCCAGAATGTGTGTGTGTGGGGGGCACCCACAACAGTAGCTGGGCTCACGCCTAGAGCAACGGGGCCCCGGTGTGGCCCCCCGCCACGCGTGTTTGCCTCAGGGCCGGCTCCTGTGACAAGCGTTTGGCGAGACACTGCAGTCAAGCGC